TATATATATATATATATATATATATATATATATATATATATATATATCAATGCAATTTAAAAATAATTCAGAAACAATTATTACTTTCACATGCATATACTTATACATAATAAAAAAAAATTCTATATATTTCATATCGATTACTTACATTTATGATGATGCAGGATTTCCAATTGCTCTTTCGTATCCACACTTCTACAAGTCCGATCCAAGTATTTTGGAAGCTATCGAAGGCTTAAATCCAAGACCTGAACTTCACGAATCTTATGCCTATATTCAACCAAAATCAGGTCTTCCATTAAAAGTTGCTTTCCGTTTTCAAATCAATATGGCTTTACAAAATATTGAACACATGGCAAGAGTAGAAAAATTCGGAGACATGGTTTTACCATTACTGTGGTTCGAAATCGTAAGTATCGAAAACTATCGAATCGCAGAGAAAATTGATTATCTCGAATATCGAAAATATTAATGGTATTGATATTTCGATATATCGAGATATTTTTATATAGATTTAGGAAATAAATAAAATAAATCATAATATAAATTTTATGAAAAAGACATCTAATTTTTAAAATATTTTTTCTAGGGAATGAACGAATTACCATTATCAATGAATATTCGTTTTTGGTTTTATTTAAATTTCTTACCGATTTTTCAAGATATAGTGACGTATTCTTCGTTGATTATTGGCATTATACTCATAAGTGTTGGTATTTACAAGATTTTTGTATATCCACCAAACAAATCAATATCAGCTCGACAATGGTTAAATTCTAAAATGAAAAATCAAAAGTTGCAATTTTTTAATAACAGACGAATGTCGTGTAAAATTAATGAAATGGATACTTATAGTTCATTAATCGAATCGAAAAATGTAAACACAGTGCCCGAAGGAATAACAAAATTATTATCTTTAAAAGAAGATATCGTGTGATCATTAATACCTGAATAAGATAATAAAAGAGGCTATATATTCTCCGCGTAAAGTTGACGTATAAAATGAACAAAACTATGAGACTTTGAGGTTCGAAACAATATAACAGTATAGTAATTGATTCAAACAAAATCTACATCGATAAGTAAGGAAATTGATATACCTATTTTTTAAAAATAAGGATTTTCACATTTTCAAACTTAATAATACAAATTTCAAAATATCAAAAATTGAGATTCAAATTATGAACTATATTTTGATATTGATTATAGAATAAAAATATAAATTACATAGTTCATATTATAAAAATTATCGTGAAATAATTTTGTTTAAATATAACCATAATATGGTAAGTAGTGACATCTTGTACTAAATTTTCTAATTAAAAAACATATTTCAATACAAACAGTGCTAATTCAAAAATATAATTATCTCCACATAAATATACTATATGTAACTTTTTTTTTATTAAAAAATTTTCTTTAATAGTAAATAATTTTTTATAAAAATTTTTATTTTTAATATTTTGACAATGTATTTTGCAATATATAAAATTTATTAAAAAATTGATACGCTTATAAAAAAAAGAAAACAGAAGTATACTACATTTACAAAATATAAGAAGTTTGTTATTTTATATAAATAATTAAATATTGAAGACTGATATTATAGACTGGTATAATAATTAAGTGATTTATAATAGATCTAAATATTAAAATAAAAGTTCATATTTTATTAACATATTTAATTATGTTACCAGTGAAATATTAATTTTGAATTGCACTGTTTGTAATTAAAATTAAAATAATTTATGATAAAAATTTAAATCATAGTTTATTTAATCTATAAACATTTAAAAATATTTATTAATATTGTAACAATATAGTTCTAATTATTAATAATTTTTTTACATACATATAATTGTAAATTTTGCTATTTTTTATAAAGTATAAGAACTATTAAAAGTATTATATAAAATATATATAAAAAATATTAAAATATATTATAATTATAGTTCATATTTCTTCTTTTTTAATACTGGTAATTTATAATTACTATAGATATCTATAGATATCTAAGTGTATGAAATTTTGTCATTGAATTTCAATAGAATAGATAATTATAAAACAATTCTCTTTTAAATATTTGTATTTAATAATGCAAATTTGTTAAAAAATTTATTTATTTCATAATTTTATATGTATATTATTAAATTATATATTTATGATGTTATTGTATTAATTTTAGAATAAAATTATAAATAATATAATATACTTTTATTATAGAAATTTTGAAAATTTATAACTTTAAAATTAAAATTCGTAATTCGTTCTATTTATCTTCTAATATTAGAATATTTTTATTAATTTTTATTAATTTTCTACCTGTAAATATTATATATAATAAGATATCAATTACAAATTTTTCTTATATACATATTTGACATATTATATTATTATGAATTTTTAAGGATTTTAAATAACATATATATTTGTATGTAATTTTAGAACAAGAAAAAATAATTATGAAATTCGTAAAAAATATAAAAAGGTATGTCAAAAATTTGTTAATAAGTATAATACTTTTTTTAATTTCATCAATCTTGCCTTATAGACTTAATTATAATTGTAGTCAACTAAGGAAATAATATTTTTAAATAGTAATATTTACAATAACCTATATATTAATTATCATATTTAATTTGAGAAAAAACAATGCACTTTAAAATTTTTGTACATATAAATTCTGTTTCCTTCAATTGCATATTTTATATATTTTATGTAAATAATGAATATTCTTTGCATAAATACTGTAATTTTTACCAATGAAATGTTAATGATATTATATTTATAAGAATTGCTCAATAAATAATATTTGTAACAAAGATCTATTTATTATATTCCTGTTGAAAATTAAAAAGTAGATAATTTATATTTTTTTTAAATTGTAATAAACAAATTAAAAAATCAAATTAATATTATGATATACAAAATATAAAATAGTAAAACTTATATTATATTAAATTTTTATATATATAATATATAAATATTATATATTATATATATAATATTATATATATAATATAATATATAACACAATTATACAAGTTAAATTTTGAATATATATAAATAATAATGTGATATATGATATACATTCTCACATAAAAAATTCTAAGAATAAATGTAATAATAAAAAATATTAATAAATAAAATTAGAAAATTTGAGCTTTAATTTATATACTCTTATTTAATTTATAATGAAATATTACGATACAAAACAATATTTAAAGAATATATATAACAAATAAAAATTTATAAATTAATTTATAATCTTATATAAATATATATACAAATGATATCACAATAAAAATTATTAATTTGTCATATATTTTGTAACAAATTGTTGTATTCCCTCTTCATCTGAAACATTTATCATTATTTTAAATTAATTAAATAACAATAAAAAGATTTAACATCTTTAAATTATACTTTACCAAATATTTTTTTGAGCAAGAAGAGTATGATGCATTTTTCTACAAGTTTTTGAAAATGTTGTTCGATCAGGAATACGTTCAGATCGATAATATTTCATCAAATATGATTTTAAAATTTCTACAGTTTTAAATTGAGTTGCTTTATCTGCAGGTACTAGTAATTTTTTATTTTTATTGTGTTGTTTTAATTGATTTTTTTTATTATGTTTTCCATTCAAAGATGTTTTTGTTTCTATAGATTCTGTTATTATGTTCTTCGTTTTTAATATTTCTTCTTTTTCTGAAGCTTTTATTGTTGTAAATAATTTTTTATTTTTAAGATCTTCAGTTTTTTCATTATCACTTTTATTTTCATCAAGAACAATTTTCTTTATACCAATTTCGTTGGTATTATTATCTTGTTTCTCATTACTTAAAATCTCTTTTTTTTCATCAAACTTTATTTTTTTATTTAATTCTATATCTACATTACTTTCAAATAAATCTATATTTCTAAATCGCTTTTTATTTTGATATTTTTGAAGATCTTTGGTATTTATACTATTGTTACTTTCATTATTTTCTATTGTAACAAAATTTGATTTTGCAGATTGTAATAAAATTTGTTCATAAACTGATTTATTTATGGGAGATTCTTTTTTATTTTTTATATTTTTTTTCGGAAGTTCCTTTGAAGATTTTTGTAATTTTTTATTTTGGTTTTTTAAGATCTCATTTTTTTCATACATTTTTCGAGCGCATGTAAAACCACTTAACATTTCAAAATTATTAGTCGTATCTTTTTTTACACTTTGTTCATTATTATTTTTTTATCAAAAAGAAAACAACTTTTATTAACATTTTGTTTTGATTCTATTACATTGACTTTATCATCTTGCAAAATATTTGCTTCAAATATATATTTCTTAGTATTATCAATTTTATTTTCATTTTTTCTAAGTTCTAAAGCAGTCTTAAAAGTAGGATAAGAAATATTCGTATCTATTTGTCGATTTAACATATTTTTATCTTCTGTATTCTGCTCTGAATTAGTTTCATTTCTTTCTTCTTTATTATTATACTCATGAAAATATTCTGGTTGTATATTCTGTTTATTATTTATATTAAAATCATGTAAATATTCATGAAGCTCATTAGTACTGGTACATTTCCGTACAGAAGAAATCTATATTTATCAAAATTTACTAAATTATAATATAATATTCTATATTCTATATAATAAAATATATAGAATATTCTATATTCTATATAATAAAATATTTATTAAATTCAAACTATATGTACTGAACTATAAATGGATATAAAATACTATATTACATACCAATTTAGACATATCAAATTTATATTTATTTGCAATTTTACTATTACATAAAATTTTATATTCAAGATTATATGCTACATTATGCATATCATTTTCCTGAATCTGTCCTTTAGATTCAGGAAATATCTTCTCATAATTATCCAGTAATGCTGATCTTAATTGAATATAAAAGTGCTCTCGAATTTGTACAGCTAAACCCTTATTTTTATATCAGTACTATCAGCTGCACGTACATGAGATTTTTTAGCATCTTCACGATTTTGTTTTTTAACTAAAAAAGAAAAATATAATACAAAAAAAAGGAAGAAAAAAAAACAATGCAACAAAAATATATATAAATCTAGCTTTTTACCTCATTGTTTTTACTATTATTTCTTCGAATAGCAAATTGTTTTTCAATTAATTCTTTAGCTTCTCGTTTACTTTCAGATAAAAGTTTTTCTCTTGAAACTGTTTTCTCATCATATTCATTTTCACAATATCTTAAAAATAAATAATAATAATAATAAATAATAATAATAAAAATTAAGGCTAATATAATATAGTAAAAAATATATAAAATCTTAATATTTTTTCAATATATTACTTACTCATTATCATACTTTGGTAAAGCAAAGCCATCTAAATTATTATTAGATTTAGATATTCGTGATGTACTTTGAGACATTTCAAATTGTGATATTCTTGTTTGAACAATATCTTTATCTTTACATACATCACATCTATCCTTACATTGTGGTGGACTATCTCCAAAATATTTAGAAAATACGGCATGTCTACATCTATAGAATGCATTAAACATTTGTATATTGAAAAAAAATATTTATAATCAAAATAATAATTCTTACTTTGCTTCAAGACAGTAAGAAACAGTTTTTTCAAAATTTTTCCATCTTAATTTTACAAGTTCTGAATTTTTCTGTGTAATTTCTTCTTTAATAAGAAATGCAATAGGCGCATATTCTTCATTACTAAAATAGATTCTACAAAATGCTGGTTTACCATCCCTACCAGCTCTACCAGATTCTTGATAATATGCTGCTATATTTTGAGGAACTGTCCAATGTACTACAAATCTATATAGAAAATTATATTGCATATTAATGAAAGTAACATTTGTAAATTTATTTTCTTAATAAACTAATTTACCTAACAGATCCTTTATCTACACCCATTCCAAAGCTACATGTTGCTGCAATGACAGGTACTTCACCAGATGTCCATTTATTTTGAACTTCATTACGTTCTTGATTTTTTAAACCTGTAAAAATAATCATTTGTAGTTAACATTTTTCTATTATTATTAGTTTCATTTTCAATAACATATACCTGCATGATATGCAAGAGTAGGTATACCAGAATTAGACAATTTATGTGCAATTATTTCAGTTGCTTCTTTCTTTCTACAATAAATAATGCCACAACCTTTTTTAACCTAAAATTAATTTTTGGATGTATGTTATATACAAAAACAAATGTATCATAATGACTTACTTTTGGAATGGATTTATCTTGAGAACCAAGACTTTCTATAATAAAATTTTTTAAATGTTCAAAAGGTTTATCTAATATTTCTAAAAACCATACATCATAATAAAGATTGGATCTAAAGACAGGAACTGAAAATATTGCAGGATTTTTCATATTTAAGCATTGGAGTATATCATCTTTTACCTATAAACATATATTTCACATAACTTTATTTAAACATTAATTTAAATATTTATCATCACTTTAAATTTGTTTACCTCCTTTGCAGCAGTAGCTGTTAATGCGATTATTGGAATATTAGGACATAATTTTTTAAATATTCCTAGTTGTCTATAACTAGGTCTAAAATCATGACCCCATTGACTTAAACAATGAGCTTCATCAATAACAAAATAAGACAGTGTTTTTGTTTTCTTTAATTTTATTATTATATCCTATAGAAAAATAATTGCAATAATTATTTAATATGTAAAGTATAATAAATAATATAAAGTAAACAATATAAAAATTTAAAAAATATAATAAATATTCTATTATAATTATGAATTAATAATTTACTTGAAAATGTTGTTGTGCTCCCATTTCAGGAGTAACATATAATAATTTGATTTTTGGAGAATTTGATGTCAAATCTTTTATTATTGCATTTCTTTCTTTTGAAGATGTATTTGAGTTCAATGAACTTGCATTAATTTTTTTGCTAATTAAAAAATCTATTTGATTCTATAATAAAATATATAATAATATATTTATATAAAATATAACTTAATATTATATAATTTGTTTAAATTATTTTTAAATATTATATATATATTTATAATAAATGTTGTAATATAAAATACATACCTTCATTAAAGCTAATAATGGTGAAAAAACAATTGTAATTTTATCTTTTTTCATTAATGCTGGTAATTGAAAACAAAGTGACTTGCCAGATCCAGTTGGCATACATACAAATACATCTTGTTTACCTATAAAAAATATTTATTATTAATTTATTTCAAAACGAATAACATTTATTTTCAAAATAAATGATTAAATAAATTTTTTATATTTATTATATATATGTAAATGACATTAATATTAATAAATATTAAACCTTTATAAATAGTAGAGGTTGCTTGTTTTTGAATATCACTTTTAAAATCATCATAACCAAATACAGATTTTAAAACAGTTGATAGCATTTTATCTTCTAATTAGATTCTTTAATCTTTAACAGAGATGCTATTATTATTGCATTATAAAAAATGATTTTATCTTACTTTTTATAAAACTATTGGGATCTTAACACGATATTTATATGAATTATAACAATTGTAAAATCTCATTCCATTGATGCTATACAATCATAAAATGTTACTTCATTATTGTGCGGCATTGTATGATAAAATTTCCTAACTTCCAAATACTAGGGTAATAAAGAATTACTATTTATACCTAACTGTTACCAAAATATCATATCGAAATTTCCTAAAAGAAACAAAGATTCTAAGAAAATAATACTAAAAGAATTGTGAAAGAATTCTAAAAGAATTCTAAGAATATATATATATGATATATATATTAAATCTGCATTTAGAGAATTATTATAAATAATTATTTCTTTATAATACAATGAAATTTTAATCATATATTTATTATATATAAAATTCTATGCAAAGAGCGAGCATATATTATATGTATCATATAATATATATATTTATATAATATATGAAATTCAATTTACTAATTAGATATAATTACATATTAGTTAATAATAAAATAATATTGTTGCAATATAATACAATGATTACGTAATAAAAAAGATAATATCGTGTATAAATTATTATATATTGTAGTTTTATGCAATACAATTTTTTAAAAAAAATTATAAAAAAATAGAATATATTTATACACATAACGCTATGTAGAATTTTGTAACATATATAATAAAACATCGTAACGTTCAATCCATTCTGAAAGAGTAGCATTATCTACAGTTTTGTCAATAATTTCCATTACTTTTTGAACAGGTTGATTTACCCTGTTAATAATAAAACAAAGATTAATATCTGTATGTTATAAAATTAATATATATACATACCAATATTAATAAAATTAATAAAATTATATATACATACCAATCATTTAAAATATCATTAAATTTATCAATTTCTGTTCTTGTTTTCATATTAATAACCTTTGATAAGTTTAAAAGTTCAATTGTATTATAGTTATTTTCTTTATATGTTAACATGGGTAAATTTAAATTTTGTTCAGTTTCTAAAACTTCGAATTTTTTATACATGGAAATTAAATTCTTGTAACATTCTATTAAAGAATATATCGGTATTTGAATTAATGGAAAATATGATTTAATATTTGAAAACTGAGAATTAGTAATTGAAACACAGGCTTCATTGAAGCAACTTTTCATATGCCTAAAATATTTACATAAATCAAATTGTACAAATCAATATATAATTTATAATTTTAGATATAGAATTTCTTTTTACCTATAAACTCCAATCTCTCCTTTTAACATAACTTTCTCTAAAGCATTAAGATCTAAAACATCATAAAACATATCTAATTCGGTAGTTAAATCATTTTCTAACATTGTAGAATCATATCCATCAGCCCGCATTGTTATTATTTTTTGTAACTCTAAATTTATTTTTTCTTTAGATTGCATAAGAAATCTTGGTGCACATTTTAAAAGAATTAAGGATTGTCGTATATTTTGTATATATTCTGCCTAAAATTAATATAAAATTAATATAAAAATATATATGTATAAATTATAATAATAATGAATTATTAACATACAATTTCACTATCAACATTTTGAATTTCTATACTTAATTGTGATAGATCAAATGCATACATGTTGTTTTCATATATATCATTTTGAATTTTTTCAATTTCTTCTTGTAAATTTCTTTGTTCATTTTCTAATTTATGAACTTCTAATGTTAATGCTAACCAATCACTTATGTCTGTAGAATTATTTGAAGCTGTCTAAAATCAGAATAAGATTTAAAATTTTAAATTATTTTTAATATTTATATAATATTTATGCTATACTTCAATTTTTTCAATATATTCCAAAACATTTTGCTCATGATGATTTGCTCTTGTATTATGTAATAATCGTTTAGAAACCATAGAAATGTGTTGTCCATATAATTTAATAATAGCAATATTTATATTTTTTTCATCTGTGTCCATTGATTTCATAGTTTCTGAGTTAATTAATACATTCACATCTTCTGATAATTTCTGATATAAATAATGCCATAATGTAGATACTTCAATATGATTAAGATTACTTGATATTGTATCCCACACCTAAAATTATAATCTAAATAAAATATTTATTCAATTATCATTATTCTAAGTAATATATAATAAATACATACATGTCTTTTATTTGCTCCAGTCCAAAGACTTGTTACCACATCTGACATTTCCATTAGTATTTTATGATCTAGATCTTTACAAGTACTTGGCATTAAATAATGACAAACTGCTCTCATATCATTACAATCACTAAGTTGTGTTTTAGTTTGATCATATTTCATCTTAAGTAAATCTCTTTTTGCTTTTACCTCAGAACGTTTGGATGAAATGTCTCGTAACTTTTGGACTACAATATAAATAATATAATAATAATAATAATAATAATAATAATATCTATTAAATATATAATATTTCTAATATTATAATATCTTTTCATAATATTAATATTAATAAATTTTATAATAATAACATACCTTTTTGTCTAACTGTAAAATCTTGTTGCTCATATTCTTCTTCTAACTTCGATATTTGATTTTTTAAATCATTTTTATTTAATTTTAATTGTAATAAATTTTTCATACATTCAATAACATTATTAGATGTCCCTTGTTTCAAATGATATAATAAAATATTTTTTCGTATTATTTTAGCTTCTTTAGTATTAAATATAACATCAGCTAAATCATCCCACATAAGTCCTATAAGTCTTGAATTTAATCTATAAATAATGTATATAATTTATATTTGAAATATAATCATAATTTAGATAACATAATTTTACACAATATCATATTCAAATTATATTTGCAAGAAAAAAAAAATAAAATATATATTATTAAAATTATACAAACATTTTTTGTATTGAAGTATTAAATATTATTGGTGGACATTCTAATTGATAAATCCATGCAAATGTATCTTTAGATTTTTCCATACTTAAAAAAAGTCAATTATAATAAAATATCATGAACAAAAGAAACTTAATTGAAGTTACATACACACATTAATACATCAAACTGAAAATGTAAAATAAAGATAATTTTAAATTAAATATTCTTAAAATAAATTCAATAAAAAATAAAAAAATAAAATATCATTTATACTGTGTTCTGTACAAACCTTGACAGAATAAATAATTTTTAATTGTTTCCATCGTAATGTAATATATAAAAACTTTGTTGACAACAAATAAAATTTAGGTTATTTGATTGTAAGATCTTTTGGAAACATTTAATTGATATAAGAAGAAAAATTTATATACATATAAAATATATATACTCTCTACAAGAATGTAAATATATATATATATAAAACTATTAAGATTTTTAATTAATAGATTAAGCAATAAAATTAATCAGATATGAAAGCTATCTCTTAAACGCATAAATTTTGTAAAGTATAGATAAGGAAAGGAAGTAGTAAAAAAAAGAAGAAAAATAAAATCAACGCTATATATATATATAAAGAAAATATTAAAGTATATTATAGTGAGAAAAGATTAGAAATAGGATAAGAATTGATTATCAGTATTATTTATAAACATTAAAAATATTCAAAAAATCTTCAATTCTTAACCTGCTTTTAATATTGGCGCTGATCCTCAATTCTTATCTTATCTTTAATATTCAAAAAATATCTTTCTTTAATATTCGCAGATGGTCAATTTTTATTTTATTTTTATTCTCTCATTACTTAATTTTTTTGTTTATACTTGCTTATCATGTCTATAAGATATTTTGTAAAATATTTTTTTTATTTCTTGTTTTATTTCTTATTTATAATTTTATAAATTGAAATTTATTGAAATATATTTTGAAATTTAATTTCAATTCCAATTATTACTAACGTTGCAACCTTATTTAAATTGAATCGTTAAGAATTAAAATAGAAAAGAGATTCTAATTTTCAATGTAGAACACAAAAATATACTGAATGTTAGATTTATTTTATATTCTTAATATAATGTATGTATTATTTTATTTACAATATATTACAGAATACTATCTTGCCGATCTGTAAACTGCTTTACTGACTTAAACAATGTTACAATAATTGTTAAAATATATAAAATGAAAAATGTAGATGGCATTTTTTATAGATTGTAAGTGTTAAATCTTATGAATAGTAGGACATAGAATATCATTATCAAATCTAAAGTGTCAGTAGTCAACTATGATGTGGTTATGTGTACTGCTGTCTAGTGATGACAGTTCTGTGACATCTATTAAACTGATATATTGATAAACAAAACCATGAGTGACACAACAAAAATTGAATGTAATTCTTATATAAGTATTGAATAAAGGTAAATTAGTTAAATAAATTAATTTGTTCTGGTATTTAATTATAAAATATTCTTTAAGATATATAGTTGATTATAATATATATATGTATATATATGTATATACATGTATAGATAGATATCTTACTTTTATTAATAAGAAAATGATTATTTAAATAATTTTAAATATCAATAAATATATAAAAAAATATAAATTTCATCTTTTAATTTTTAGCGATAAATGTTATATATTGATAACAAATTTTTAAATATTATATATAATCATTAATAAAAAATTTATCATCACTTATGAACGTTATAATAAAACAATAAGATATCTATTAAATATAATAAATTAATATATTTAGGAAGATTGCTGAATGAATTATAAAATATTTTATCAATTATAATTAGTTATTAGGTTATGTTTACAAATTATTTCTTTCTAAAATTAATTTCAATAAATTTCTAACTTATAAACATAAATAAAAGTTGATTAATTTTATAATAAAAAAAATTAAAATTAAAAATAATAAATTATTATGAGATTATGGATTTTTTATATTTTTGAAATTAGAAATACTAATTTGAATACATTATACAAGAATTTATATTTTTATCATTTCTTGTTTAAATATTTGTTTTTTGATTTTAGTGATTAATTACAAAATGTTATATATTTCTTGATTATACAATAAAAAACAATATCATCATGGAAGAGAACGAACTGTATAATGTTACAGTTCCATCGTTCTCTGGAATTGAACCAGCTTTTTGGAATTATTCCGATCATGTCATCCTTGATGATCTTAAAATGGATAGTAGTTTTATATATTTACTTTGCTCATTAGTGTCTGCTATTTCATGGATTATTTATATAGCTTATTATAATAGCAGAGTTATTGGTTATATATTAACAAAATTATTAAATCGGTTTGTTATTAGAGATGGATATGTTAAAGTTGGTAAGTTTTATAGGAAAAATAATTTAAGAAAAATAAATATTTATTGTAATTCAATATTCATATATTTTTGAATTAAATGTAATATATATTATTATTTTTAGGATCTTTTACTTTAAGTGCACTAAGTGGAAAAATAATGTTTCGAGATATAGTTTATATCACAACAGATTATAGTATCAGAGTTCAGGATGGATGGCTTATATTTAGATGGTGGAGAAGTTATGTTCCCAAAGATGTATCTGAAGGTATTTTTTACACAAAAAATTCTTCTTTCTATAATATAATATAAAACTAAAACCTTAATAAATATTTTTTCAGATCTTTCACATTCAGATACGAGGCTTTCAGTTATGTTAAATGGTTTTGAATTACATGTTTATAATCGCTGTCAGTTATATGCACAATTAGAAAAAACATTTGGTCTTACATCACAAATGTTTGTAGATGAAGAAAATCATAATATTAATAGTGATGATCGTGATATAGAATCATTTAGTAATACTACTCATGAAACACGTCAACAAATAAATGCAATGGATGTTTCACGTCATGTTGATAATATTAGAAAAAAAGAAGCTCATGTTATTGCTCGAACATGGAGAGATTTAATACCTGTTATTAAATTGGATGTTTGCACAGTTAGTATATATCTTTTTATAAATCTTTTGTCATTTTTCAATATTTTTTTATTACTGTTATTTAAAGTATTCTATTATATTAGGGAAGATTGGTATTTGGTAATCGGTTAATACCAACAACTTTATCAATAACTGTAGAAGAAGCACATTTTGTATATTCTACAAAACCAGCAGCATCTCGATATGATCATTTCATGCATTTTACAAAATGTAAAGCAGAAAATTTCAAAGTTATTTTAGCACCCAGTCCAAAGTATACTGGAATGTCAGATGATCCACCTAGATATATGGGAGAAGGATTTGTTGTATTAAGTTCAAACAACATAGAAGTATATTACTATATGGATGAACCTGGATTTGTTCCTGAACATCCACAAATGATTCAATTAGTAAATGGAGACATGGTTGAAGCTATGCCGCCAATTTGGGGTATTGATATTAAATGTGGAAAAGGAACTGATTTTAGTTATGGTCCTTGGGCTGATAGACAAAGAGAACATTTATTAAATTTTTTTTCCCTAATGATTATCAGCCATTAAAAGTTACAAAAACTCCTGTTACAGGAGAAAAAAGACAAGTTCAATCATTTGACATTAGATTATCAACATTGAATGAAGCTACTATTGATATACTTTTTAGCAAAAACAGAGAAACAAATGCAGTTCATATTAATGTAGGTCCTGGATCATATCTGGAAATTACTATGCCCTGGATAGTTTTACAAGATGGATATACAACAAAAATAACAGGACAATTGTTACATTTAGAAGCAACTACAAGTTTACAATATCGAAGTTTAGTTGAAAGTGAAACATTAGAATTTGGTGTTAAATGTCATTATCCAATAAAGTGGAATGATCATCAAGAATGGATGTTAAATTTAACTGGATGTAAAGCTACAGCTAATTTAGTTTATTCGCACAAAGAGTTTTTTCAAGATATGATTAATGATTGGACGAGTAAAGCCAGACCTGATATTTTACATTTTGTACCTTATACCTGGAAGTTTAATTTATTGTTAAAAGAATTTGAATTAATTACATTATGTAATGAATATAATTGGATTGACTGTTCATCACAGAATCAAGAAAATGCGCACATTGCTTTTTGTGGAGAATTTTTCGAGCTATCATTTGATCTTCCATTTGTGGATTATTTGCCTATTACAATCCCTTTGCGTTTTTGGATTCAAGGTGAAAGTGTTGATCTTTCATTTTATCTACCTGAAGTCAATACAAGTCGTACAATTTTGTTAGCTTTGAATAAAAATGCAAAGATTATGACACGTGATGGATCACATATATATTTATCAGAGTTAAATAAAAATAAAAAATGGAGAAATGTTTGTCAGAAAGGAGCAGGCTGGGTTGATTGTTGGTCTGTACCAATTGTGGCATTAAGTATTAATTATACATATCATCCATGTCCACCTTTAGGACCTACACCACAAGCAAATATAACAACTCCAGAAAAAGAAGAAATTCTTTTATCTCCAATGAGAATTCCTCGATGCGGGAAATCGCCAGGTCTTCAATGGACCAGAAATGGTAGTCAGAAATTTGATCCACAATCTATAGCTCCTGATAAAGTTAGTTTAGATCTCGAAATAGGTCCATCTATATTAATTTTATATGGATCACTTTTAAAAAATTTTATACATTTAAAAGAAAATCTATTTGGTGATTATCAAACATTTACTGATATGCAACAAAGTCGAACAAATCCTACATCTATAAATACTGAAAAAAGTAAAGATAGGGATGTGCAAAATAGTAGTGTTGAATCTGTAGAAGATGAGGATGCCAAATCAAAACCATTTGATCCAAGAGATTATCGACCATTAGAAGTAACAGTTGGCATTACAATGCATGATATTCAAGCTCATTTAGTAAAAAATTGTGGAGAGAATGATCCTCCTTGTCCTGTTATACTTTTAGAACGATTTGGATTTGAAATGAAAAAGAAATATAAAGAAACAGAACTTCAACTTCTCTTATCGCCCGCAATTGCATTAATTACTGATAATTTTATCCGTTCAACTAAAGAACGTCACTTAAATCAAGGACATTTAATGTTGAGTGCATTACAAGTCAGAGGACATGCAATGTTTAGTAATGAAGGAAGAAGTTTAGATCAAGAAACTTTGGAATATGCATGGTTAATTGAAGTACAATTAGGAAAATTAATTGGAAAATTAAGTTCTCCACAATTATATCATCTTATTATATCTTTGGAAACATTTTTATTGATGGTAAAAAATAATGAAAATAGCTTACGTCCTCCAGACTTACCACATCATTGTCATCATGGTATTCCACCTTTACAATGTCCTGATAGTGATATTGATAAACATTATAGGTATACAATAATTTTAAACATTCATAAATTTATTATAAAGAATAATATTATAATATTATTACAGATGTCCTAGTTCTGAAGATATAAAATATAGAATGACTAGAATAGCAATAGATGCAATTGATTTATATTTTCAAGAAATAGGAACTAGTATTCATACTTGGATATCTCCAATTCGTGTATCAACTTGTAATCTTCATGGTCAACATGTTAAGTCTGGAGTAACTGGTGTATTACCAAGAATATTAATAAGACAATTTGTATCAGCAGCTGATCACTTTGCAAATACAAGTAATACTAATACAGCTGGTAGTGGAAGATCACATAATAATGCAAGCAGTCGTATGTCAGGTAATAATAAATAAATATATATATAAATATATACACTAACTTTAATTTATATAAAATTAATGTAACTTATTTTATATATATATATTTTTTTTTAGGTGATGGATCTGATATCTGGTTAGAAGTGGGATCTATAACTTTAGGACCAGTAATTTTAGAGGCTGCAATTTCACTTCCAACTCCTGAACATAATTTGCATTTAGTACAAAATAAATATCTAAAATTACACGACGAAACTACAAAACGTTTATGGTTTTTATGGCCTCGAGAAAGTGGTGTGAAAGCAACAAAATGTGGTTGTATAGGTGGTTGTGCATTTTTCGGAAATAATCGAAATGGGCCAAGATTTTTCAAACCAAGTTATTATGATTTTCAAGATGGCATAAATATTGCTGCATATAGGTACAAATAATATATAAATCATATTTCATAATCAATGAATTATTTTAAATATTATTTTAGAATTAATGAATCTGGTAAAGAAAAAGGATTTGGTCAATCTATATTGCATAATGGTCAATTGGTATTTCATACATCACCTTATAATTTACAAGATGTATCTTTACAAGACTATCCTGTTACTGGAGTAAAAATAACTGCCACTCAGGATGGATCACAAACTTCAAAAAAAGGTGTTGAACGACCAAGGTCTGTGACAGATCATAATAAAGATTCCTGTATTGAAGAAACTAGTAGTACAAAATTAATTGCTGCATCAGCAAGTCCATTCGCATGCAGTGGGGAACGGAAACTACTAGACAGAAGATTTTCTTATACATCGATGCGGTAATCTTTGGAATAGCTTTGAAGCAGCTTATTAATAATTTGATTAATTTTTTTAAATATTGCATGATTGCATAACTACACTAAATTTTGAATTTATAATATGATCATTAATATTAGAATTAAATTATGAAAATTCTTTTTTTTTATATAAAAATTATATATATAAAAAAATATATAAATTGTATATCATTTATGCTGCTAAATCTGTCAATGTAATTTTTTAATATATTTTATGTTTCAGTAGATTCTGTCTCCATAAAATTTTCTGCTTTTTTCAAGTTTATCTTTTTAATATAAAAAATATAATCTTATTTTTAAACATTTATTTTTGATATCATTATGTTTAATAATATAATAGTAACTAAAGTTATTATTTCACAGAATATTAATTAATTTTTATTTTGCCACATCAGAAAATTATATCTTTTAATTTTTTATTGCAGCGGAAACAGTATAAAAGATGTTCCATATTCTCGATTAGTTGATGCAAGTCCTGTTGTACAGTTACCACAAAAATTAGATTCAGATTCAAAATTACATACAGAACGCAGTAAATCAATCTTAAGTGTTCCTGAAATAGAAACTGCTCCAAAGAGTAGTGTATCTGATTCTAAATTAGCAGTTGATTATTTCAATGCATCAGATGTAGAACCATTTGAATCAAATAGTCCACAATCATTACCGGTAGTATCTACAGAAATAAACTTTTCTGAGACAATGCAAACAAATATAAAAAATGTTGATGGTATCAATATTTCTGACTCTCATCACTCATTATATGTTAAGTCAGAATCTGAAGAAAAATTAAAACAAGAAGTAAGATTAATAAAATGATATAATTAAATCTTTTTTTTGTAATAAATTATTTATAATTCTTTTATATATAATTGATTCATTTACAGGTTCAACGAACAATATCTATGTCTTCAGAAAATCATTCAGAAGCTTTTTATTCTGCTGATGAAGATACAAGTCATGGATTAAGTGGAAGTCGTACATCTAGTTTACGTCAGTCTATTGTTGGATCTGGCTCAGTATTAAATCGTAATGATAGCATAAAAAAGAAGTTTTCGTCAGATTTATCTATTGTAGAAAGTTCAACAAATGTAAATATTTCGATATTTGAGAAAGCACATACTTTAGAGAGAGCAAAACCACAGACAATGAGTACGAAACGAAGTCCTAGAGTAAATCGAAATACAAGTTTTCAAAATGATACTGATTCAAATGGTGGAAATGGTGGATTACGTGATTCATCCGATAGTCATTCTGTTTCTTCTACCAGTTTCATATCTGCTGTATCTTCACAAGAAGATGTTACACTTGTAAATTTGCATATGCAAGTAAATAAGCCAATTGTTGATTCTCCACTTCTAATGTCAAGCTATGTTAGCCATTTATCTCAGGTAATTTTAAATTAAAATATACGTAATTTTAATTTAAAATATTATTATAAGATAATAAATATTTTATAAAATATATATATATATATATAATCAATTTTAGATACGTTGTTCAAATTGGAGTCAATCATCAATACCAGCAGGAAGTGCTGCATTTACTACATCACTTTTTCAGCGTACTGAAGATAATAGATTAGTTTATGTTGGTGGAAGATATGTACCGAAATTTGAAACTGTTACTGAAGGATTTACTTCATTAAAAATGATTACAAGATCAGATGGTTCACCTGTAGCTAATTCATCTAATAAAACTCCTACACATCCATATCTTTGGGATAGTACAACTATTAATCACATGGAAGGTAGAATAGTATTTTTATGTTGTTATTATTGATAATATTTATATTGTTATTATAAATGAACTATATATTATAATTATATATAATAATTATCATAAGTACATTTGTAAAAAAAAATTATATCACAAATTAAAGATTATATATTATGTTAAGGAGAAGAAGATCATACAGCTCATAATAAGGAAGAGCTATTAACTGCGCAACATGAAAATGGATCGCGTACAACAGTTATCGTAAAGTTTAAGGGGGATGTAGATATCATGTTAAGTCCTATGGTATTAGAATCTTTGCAACGTTTCATTGATGCTATCATACCAACATTATCTATTTTGCATCCATTAACAATTTTAAATCATCTTCATCATGAATGCATTGGAAAAGTTGAAGATGCTAATATTTTGAAACAAGACCAAAGTTTATCTTATTGGAGTCAAGTACAAACAAATTCAAAACGATCCACTGCTGAAAGAAATATTAAGAATGGGCAAGGTGACGATAAACGTTAGTTTTATTATATTCGATTCTTTTATCACATAAATGTATATTTGTTAATGTTTATTTTTAATAATAGGTAAAATTGCATTACAAACAAACATGTATGAAGAAAGCATTATGACGCAAATACAGGGTAGTATTATTTTACCAAAGGTAAAAATGTACTTAATAAATTGCGATATATACTTTTTTAAATTTCATATAAAAAAATTAAAAACATATTAATAAACATATTAATATTAATTTTAGATGAATATAACTTTGCTACAAGCTTCGGTAGTTGAAGAAATTATATCCTTTTCTGCTCTTGAGAATATTCGCGATTTAACATGTGTATCACTATTTGCTATCTGTTTTGATGATGTAACAGGAAGATTTTATGTTGGAAAACAAGCTCGAGAAGTAGTTCAAACATTTCACAAGCCAGCTGTATTACCAAATCAAAAAAAAGTTAATAAAATTAGTAAGGCATTTTTACCTGGGCATCAAACTGCTGCTGTGGTTGCAGATATAGGAAGTGGAGAAACAGTATATATAGAAACATCTGAAAAACAGCAAGAAGAAATTGTAGTTACATTAAATATAGGTAAATTATTTATATATTATAGATAAAATTATAATTATAATTATAGATAAAATTATAATTATTAGATAAAATTAATTCAAATAATTTATAATAGGCAAGGCTCATTCACAATTACGTAGACTTAGGAATGAATCTTCAATATTAAAAGATGCTGTTATAACAGCAATTCCTGCTCACTATTCAAGAGTGTTATTTACATGTACTAGAATAACTTCTCCACTAAAATGTGTTGATTATTATTTACATCAATTTACGGATGATAAGAAAAAAATGTATGTTTTTGTCTTTTCTAATTTATGCTATTTCTAATATTATGCTTTATTTAAAACTAACTAGAAATATATATATATTATAGAAACAATCTGGGTCGCCACAAGCGACAGAAGAATTTACTCTTGGTAGTGGAGAAGACAGATTGGGCTTTATAATGTTTGAATGTGGTTTAGAAGGTATCAAATTGAAAATAGTAAAAAGATCTCAATTCGAGAAAGGAGAAAACGGAAATGATAGTAAAAAAGTTGATGCCGAAATATTTTATACTGATAGTGTAAAGAGTCAAGAGGAACTAGATACTGCAGCTGGTATATGTATATATATATATATAATTATTAATAGTTAATATATATCATTTATTTATATTTTATGTATCATATTGTAGCATCTACTACGGCTACAGCTGAACCAGAAACAATTTCAACGAATTTACATAATGGAGCGCAAATAAACACTAGTGCGACATGTGCTAGTCTTGTCTCAAAAGCAGGAAATGGAAATACAGTTTCTTGTATCATAGAATTAAAAACAGTATGGTTTAATTTTGCAGCACCACCTCGTACTCCAATAACAAGAAAAATTGATTATACTCGATTAGATTGGAATTTATTAAGTACAGCATCACCTGCTATAAATGCTTGGATGAATCCTAGCAATAAATTTGCAATTCGTATTGTACATATGTTTAGAACTATGTATCGAAGATCAACTGCTATTGTTGCTTGTCTCATGGCAGAAGCCTTAGATGTTCAAGCGACGCACATGCCTACTAAGGTAGATGTATCTATATATATTTATATTTATGATCAAATTTGTTATATAAAAGATAATTTTTTTTTTTATAGAGTCGTTATGGAAGATTAACACCATTAGCAAAAACATTACAAGAAGATCCATCTTGTCAATTATGTACAATTTTACAAAATTATGTTTTACTAAACGAATTGAAAAGCATTGAAGCTAATTTAAAAGAATCAGATTTACCTTTATTATCAACACTTCGACAAGTAAATTATAATTATATTTTAATTTTTCAAATTATGCATTTAAAAATGCATTTATTTATATATATTTATATAATTATATTATTAGGGAGTAATTGTATTGAGCAGACAATGGAAGAATGTTCTGTATACCCCACTATTATTAGAACATAATTATAAGACCAAACATGTCAAACCATTAAATGTTACATTTGCAGTTTCAGATCCAGATGAGGTATGAATATTATTTATTTTTTTGTATATTTAAATTTTTTGTTAAAAATTAATTAAAAATATTGGAATGGAATTTTATATAACTTTTTTTATATACATTATTATTAATATTTTTCTCTAAATATTTATTAACATTATATTTGTTTTTTCTAATAAACATATTTTTCCATTTGAAAATTTATTTTTTTTTTGTACAATGATTTAAAAATGTTATAATATATCATGTATTAATAGCATCATTTATACATCAAAAAAGAAATTATTTAATTCAGAAGATCATAATATATTTTAGGGGGAATGTAATTTGGTAGACAATTTTTTTTTTCAGCAAATAAGCAACGATGTACAGGAGGATGGTTACAATGTAAAATTCAGTAAGAATTTAAAAAATATATTCACAGAGGTAGTTCTAACACATCTTTGCAAACTTTTTTCATATAAAAATTGATTTTCATCTTAATAAGCTTTGTCAAATAATTATTAACTCTATTTTAATATAATATAATATGCTATAGTATTCTATTGCATATATGTGTTCATTAACAGGACTCACATATTGGTATTAGTGTTTTATTATTATGCTTAAATAAAATAATATTTTGTAATAAAATATTATCTATCTTATTTTATTTGTGAAAATTAGTAATATGTGGTATATAAATTGTAGTGGTGGAGGTTTATTCAGGGCTTTTGCAATATTTAACTGAAAATATATAAAATTAATGTTAAAAACTTGAAGACTTCCTGTGAAATTGAAAACTTCTGAAACCAAAGTCTTCTGAAAACTATTCTCACACTTTTTAATTATTAACTATTTTATTATGATTTATTGAAAATTAAAAATTTTCATTCAAACTTTCAATATTTATTTTATGAATTATTGATTATTGATTACATTAAATAAATTATTACATTTCATTTTTGAAGATATTAAATAAATAGTTTGGATTTGACTTATTCATGTACAGGAAAATTTGCTGACTGATGGTGAGGGTAGCACAGGAGAAGTTGATGATCAGGAAGTCACAGATGAATGTGCTATGTTAATTCACACAGATCATATGCACAAACATACACATGTCAAGAGTGGACAAGATAAAAGTACAGGTACTACAAATTAGATTAAATTAAAATTCTAATTACACAATTTATGAAGACACCTGATACAATATTTTTATATTGATATAACTCTTTCTTCTTTTATTAGATTATTTGATATTTTATGAAACTTATTTAATTTAATATATCCCTGTAGCTTTTAGCATTTGCTTTAAATTGTAATTTTTATAATTGCTTAATATTTCATTTTGCATTTTCATATAGACACATTATGTGTCTTTAATAGTAATAATATTAAAGATAAGTAAGTTTAATAATAATAATAATAGTTAATAGTTATAAAATAATAATAATAATAATTTAATAATAGTTATAAAATATTTACATATTAACATTAAATAAATTTTATATTTTTTATATACAAGTTACATAATTTTTCTTGTTTATGTTATTTTTTATTTCATATTTGTTTTTTAATTATTTTTAATGTTAAAATCTTAAATCCTTACATATATGGAATAAATCTATCTTTTAATTATATTATTTATTTATCTAATATTATATTATATTATCTAATATATAAAAAATCACAAAAATTCTTAAAAGTTAATTTTGTGTATAAATTTTTTATTCTGTACTTTGAATATAGTTTTTTTTTAGGATATTATTTATAAAAATTAATATGTGTATTTTACAAATATTGTAGTATTATTAAAATTACATGCTTTTACAAACATACACTAATAGTATAATCATAATCTTTCTGAACAAAAATCATGGCTTAATGGAATGATTAGGTATTTGTGGTGATGGTTTGACGGTTCCTGTAAGTTCTCCTCGGGGTAAAGACACAACCCCCATAGCAACACCGGTTCCAGGCCCGGATTCATTAACTTCCCCCTCTCCACCAGTAGTTCATATAAAGAAAGGAAAATCATTACAACCCACGCAAATGCCTGCTAGTACACGAGCAAGTATTGTTTTTCCATTGCTTGCAAGTGGTGGGTTATTCAATCAAACTCGGGAACCAAATAACATAAGTAAGTGTAAAATAATTAAATTCTTTATAGGCTATATATTAACAGTCTATACGTTAAAATTCATTTGATTTAATAATAAGAAGGAGAATAGATGAAAATTAAAAAAAAAAAGAAAAAAAATTGAAATAATTAAAAATTGAATTTTAGTGAATGGACTGTTCTGATTGCAATGAATACATAATATTATAAATTTTCTTTGTAGATTGCATTGCTTTGCTTTTTAATCTTAGCACTACATATGTCTTCAAGCATTAGTTTTTTTTTCTCATATTGCTTCTTATTTCATCAGGTATCTGTTTTATGTTTATTTTTGTTTATTCTGTAAATACATTTTTGCATGTAACTCCTTTAACACATTATTTTAAGTTTTATTTTTTTATTGTTATATCTTTTAATAAAATGAAAATATATATACAAATAGAATTTTACATTAGGTTACGGTACATTGCGGGAAGAAAAGACACCGCAAATTCACATTTCCCATTCTCATCACCTTGGTTCTAATCCAAGTATATATTCTGGAGGTGGACATGGTAGTCAACATAGTACTGGAAGTTTGGATCAAGTTACATCTCCTACAAGTTATCATTCTAATAAACCTTTAAATACTGGTGAAGATCTATATAGTTGGATGGCTAAACAACAAGAATTTATAAAAGAAAATGATAAAAGCAATTTAAAAGGAAATTGGGTAAGTATTTATTCTGTATAGAAGTTCAAGAAACAAATATTTGCAATAAAATATCTATTTTTATTATTTCTATTATCTTAGGTCTTTCGTGCAGAACAAAAATCTTTAAAGGTATTTGAAATTTGTAAAATTAAATGTGTTACTTTTGACAGATGCTATTTTATTATTTATTATTTATTATAATTTGATTATGAACTTATATTAATTACTTATATATTTATATTTATGTATATAAATATATATAAATGTGTATAAATGTATATAAATGTATATTTTCAGGATTCTAAAATTAATACAATGACAACAGATGATACAGAAGATTCTGATGTTCATAGTGGTACTCTTCTTTATCCTATGAAAGATTCACTAAGACTTTTAGATGCACATTTAATTTTTGAACCACTTTTATCTTCTTTATCTGTTATGCCACAACAAATGTTATCTGCCATTGGTTCAGGAAATGTAAATAATGTATCCTCCTTAGATTCATTAGGATCAAATTTATCCTTAGTAGGAAATATGGAAACTATGCGTATTGATATAGTTGTCAGTGAATTTGGAAAAGTAACTGATAAAAGAAAAGGTATAAATAAAAATATATTTTAACATATATTTTTTTATGTAAAAAATATATTTGTTTAAAAATTTATTGAAATGGAAATATAACAAAATTTTAAATTATTATATTAGGTAATAAATATCAAACAAAAAAAGGAAATAATACAAAATTTTATTTGGATATACCACCAGAAACACCAGCATTTTTATGTGAAAAAATCGGTATTGACATTGATGTTAAGAAAATGGCTGATATGACTGTAGATGATATGATTCAAAAGCAAACTGTTTTGTACATATCTCGGGGCCAATTGAAGAAACATACAAGTACAGTTGTGAATTTTAGTTTAAATATACGGTATATTAGTCAACAAGTAAACATGCCTCTTCTCAGATTATTGCATCAAATTAGTAATATGTATCAAAATGTCAAAGAAACACAAATGGAACTAAAAGAACAACAACCAGAATGTAAACGAAATAATACTTTAATTGTTAATGATACAGTAGTAAAAAATGGATCATCTTCAAGTAAATATTTTATTTTTTAATTTTATTATTTAAATATTTAAATATGAATTTAATATATTGTTACTTTTTTAATAGCATCTGATTTACAAGAACAACTTTTATTAGAAGGTAAAAAAATAGATGTTCCATTACTTCGTAATAGTTTTGAACCTAATCTTTCAAAAGTTATATCACCTGGTGCGAGTATTCGATCTCGACCTCAAAGTTTTGCTCAAAAATTACGTAGTACAGGAAAAAGTGTAAAAGGATATATTAATTTGAATGAAGGTGTAATAACTCCTAATTTTGGAGCAAGTCCAAGTGGATCTGGCTTAGACAAATTTTGTGTACTTCCTGATAAATGTAAAGATACAACGCATTTAACACCACGATGTTGGAAAACAATTTATTATTTATTAGATTTATACGCTACTCGACCAGAAACTAAAACAATTACACATCGTTTTTCCATACCAGCGGATGCTTCAGAACATTACAAAAGTGGTCGAAAATATGAATTATTAAATGAAACAAAAGATGCAGATATCGAAAAAGGATTGAATGCTGAAAATAGTTCAACACCTGTGCCACTTCCACGAGAACTAAGTCAATATTAATTTATTTTTTAGCATGTTCTTTAAAATTAAATTTTATCATTCATTTTATATAATTCATTATATATAAAAATACATTGCAGATATTGTTACGGGAGAAAGAACAAGATTAGTTATTTTTGGTGTTGCTCGAATACATAGGACCAGATTGTTAGCTACTCTTAGTGGATTAAAGCTTGAAGCAGAAATAACGAGTCTTCATGCAAGTTTTACATGTCGTAAAAAATCAAGACCCGCAAGTTTAGAATGCAGTTTAACTGGTCAAATTGGCAGAACAATGATTGTTCTACTAGAAGGTGTTGCACCTAATCAACAAACAGTTGTCAAAGTAACTGTAGGCAAATCACAGGCTTTATATTCAAGTATTAGCAGACGACAAAAAGATAAGAATAGTGGATTATTGACTGTTGGTGCTGTCAATATAGATATTCCCCAACATCCAGTAGCTTTACATGGTATGATGACCAGAGGTAGCAAACAATTGTCATCGACTTTGCAAGTAAATATATTTTTTATTTTTTCTTTAATAATTATTTATAATAAATATATTTAATTTCTTAAGTTATATAATATATCAAGTTATATAATATTTAAGTTAGTATAATATCAAATAATAATATTTTTGCAGGAACTTAGGGTGACAAGAACATCCTCAAGAATGTCCAGAGGTCAACAGCAAGATGAAGTGGATACAGGAGTACCTAGTAGTCCACATCATTATGCACCTGCGCCATCAGATGACTTAGAAAAACCACAAGTAGTATCTAGTTTATTAGAACCAATTGTAATGCAGTTTCATATAATACTTCAAAGTTTGAGTATAACAGCAGCTCTGTTACCATCTTTACAAGCACAATACAAAATGGATCGAGTAACTAGTTCTGGTATAACTGGTAGTAAAGCTAAATTTACGATAGATCTACCTCATCATACTTTGAGTTTCACAACGAAACTTCAAGTGACAGAAGCAAATTTACCTTCTGAAGCTAGTATTGAACTTCCTAAAGTACATGTATCTGCAGAATATATTCAAGATGGTAACAGTAATATAAATGATAGTAAATTAGCTGGTTAGTAACTAAATGATTTTTTATATGAATTATACTTTAATTACTTAATTATTTTTTATATTTTAATTATAAAATTATTAGATTTTATAATATAAATATATTGAATTAAACTTTTTATAATTTAAAGATGGTGTTGTATTAAGACAAGGTAGTTATCTCAGTGCAACAGCGGATATCGGTATTTTTGAACATTCATTGACTACAGATCTTCTTAATCATTTGGTATTCGTACAAAAAGTATTTATGAAAGAAGTAAATGAAGTTGTACAAAAAGTTTATGGTGGAGAAAAACCAGTTCCTTTATGGTTAGAAGATGAAGAACCAAATAATACAACTGTAAAAAGAATATTATTCACATTAATTATTCGCATTAAGGCATGTTTAATATCATTATATTAATATTATCAATAATTTAAACTTTATAATATATTTTATATTATATATATATATATAGAGAATACAATTGACAGCAACAACTCCGACGAATTCGGCAGTTCGATTAGAAACTGGAGCAGTTGAACTGCAATTATCTAATAGAGTACAAAATGTTTCTGGTGCCACTCAACCAAATCCATACATGAAGCTATTTGGAAAAGCACAAGTTGATATTAATTTAAGTCTTGGACAATTATTAAAGAATCTTTTGTTTGAAGAAGCAGAACCAGAATTTCAACAATTTGCCTTTTTTAATACTAGAGTAGGATTACGAAACGCTTTCCAAGAAGAAATGGCAGAAGGTGAAGATAAAGAAGTAGTATTAATTACATTAAAACGTCCATTAATATATGTTCAACCAATGGCTATTGATAAAGCTATACTTGTTTGGTTAAATTATAAAAACGCATATGAATATTGGAATGAAAAAAGAGCTAATTTAAATAAAGAGGTTTTAACTGCCACACAACAAGTATTTGAAAAAGTGCCATTTGGTCAAATAACAAGTCAATTAAGTGCTCCTCATTTGGGAACATTATTTTTGCAATTGACTGTGGATGATATGGGTATTTGTTTACCATTGAATCCTCTGCCACCTACTTGGAGTATGAATAGAGGACTATATGATGGCGAATCAAGAGGTGCTGTAGTAGTAACATTAGAAAATACAAGCATATCAGCTTGCAGCAGTGGTAGCTTAGTTAGTAAAGCAAGGTATAATCTTTTTAGTTATTCAATTTTTAATGAATTATAAATTGATTGATAATATTTTAATATTTTATAGATTTATGGGTTTATGCTTAAGATTTGCTGATGACTTTGAAACTTCTTTAGATGATTGGAAACCAGATGTAACTGATAGTAGTATAATGAATTTATGTATGGTTTCTGAAGGTACTTATGAAGTGTGTAGCAGAACAATTGCACAAAAACAAGATAAGTCTGGTAATAAAAATATTCTTCAATTTTATTTTAATGATTTTTTATAATGAATGGATAATTATTTTTCAATTATTTTTAGATAATGCCAAGTGGATTTTAAATGTACAATGGCAAATGGAAGGTGTTGATATTCATTTAGATGTTAATGTAGGACAACAACTATCAGCACTTGGACATACATTAACAATGCTGACTGGTTCTGAAGAAGATGATATTCATGTACCTGCTGATTATGATAGTGATGATGCAGATCAACCAGATAATAGTACTAGCCAGGTTAAGAAAAAAGTATGGTTTAATTATATTTATTTTATCCTACTTTTTTTGGTGCTTACTTGGGTAATGTATTAGAAATTAGATATAAGTTATTAAGAATATTTTGACAAAATAAACTTTTTTATTTTTTTACATTCGTAAAATTTTTTCTTTAAATTGTTTAATAATATGTATATTATTCATTAATTGAATTTTAAATGTTTGTAGGAGAGTATATTAATGAAGAAATCTAAGAATTGGACAGATAGTCTACCAGCGTTTGTTTTTGATCCTACGCTCGATGCGAAAAAAAGATCGAAACTAATTGAAAAAGAAATGAATGAACAGGCAAAAATTATAAATGATTTAAGATCATTGGGTGCTTCTCATGGAACTATAGAGCAAGAAATGAAGCGTTTACATGAATTGGAAGCTATGGTTTTTAAAGATTTTAGAAGGTATAAATCTGAAATAAATTTTACATTATTGTAAAAATACAGAACAAAAGATACAGAAAAAAATGTTATTAAATATTTTTCTTTATATTATAGAGATATGATTCAAAAATTAAGAAGACAGTCAGTTAAAGCTTCAGGAATAAAAGGAAAATTAGGACTAGGTGGAAAACCAACTACGTATCGATCACGGTCATTTATCGTACCATCACCAACACTTGAAAATCAGTTGGAAAGTCCTGAAGATATGAATATAGAAGTCAATTCAGCAAATTCTGCTAGTTATGAAAGTAGTCCTAGAAGTGGTCCAAGCCGGTATTATATATTTTCACAAAATTTTCTAATTTTTCTTTTTCAAAAAATTTGTTCTTTTTCAAAAAAACATTACTTAATAATCTGTATTAATTTTTAAAGATCTGCTTCTCTTCGCGTGAGAGGACTTAGCGGACCGCGAGTTACTTTTAGTGATACACATACAATGGGCAGGTATGTTTACATTATATAATTATATAATATATTTTTTTAATATCATATGATTCATTATCATTTAAATGATATTATAGGCAATCATCACTTCCAAGTGCTGGTTCCGAATTAAGCTTACCAGAGGGAGAGTTAGAATGGCCAGAATCTATTGAAATAGATGGAGAACGAGTTGAATTAAGAAAAAAAAGCAGAGATATTAGTTATACTTCCAGTTATGATAGTATGGAAGGAAAGTATGTATAAGCATAAGATATAAATATATAAATATATTAAATTACACTTACTAAATTTTACTTTTCATAGTGCACCACTACTTGACTCATTTGGCAAAGAACAATCTTCATCAACTTCATCACCATATATAACACCTCAAAAAGCTCAAGAACCTAATATAGATTTTGAACTTGATGTAAAAGTTCTAATTAATAGTGGTAAATGTGTACTCCATACAAAAGATCCAGGAAAAGAAGATGAAATTAAAATGTAAACTGATTGTATATTAATTTTAAATACTATAAATATTTTATACACATAATATAACATATATGTATAAAAATTATTATTTATTATATTATATTTATTTACAGTATGAGTAGAATGAAGAAAGAACGATCATGTTCAGGAGGTACATTTGAATTTCAACCAAGTAGTCCGAGTAGTAGTAGAAAACACTTAAGTAGTAAAGAAAAATCATCCACTGCAAGTACATCTCGACTACGATATTTACAACACACAAATGTACCTTTAGTAGATTTAACAATTTTTCATATTCCTGGTTTAGATGTAAAGGTAAAAATATTTTACATTGCAGATATATAAGCATATATTTTAATATTATATCAATATATATGCTTTAAATTATGTTTTGTTATAGGTACATTATGAATCTAAAACACTTCCAGAAGAATCTGTCTCTCCTCGTGTATCGTCTGATAATAGTTTGCTTAATCCCTCATCAGTGACTGCATTTAAAAAATCTAGTACTAAGAAAGCTAGTTTGTTTGCTTGGATGACACTTCAAAGTATACCAGAAGAAACAATAATAAGTCCACATATTCTTGAATTTTTGGAACAAACATTAGAACCAATACCAAGTAAAACCAATTTTCATAGTAATGCGCAAACAAATGTAGTATTTCCATTGGATAATGCAGAAACTACATCTTGGGCTGCTACTGCAGCAAGTAGCAGCAATTATGTTTATGCGAGTTTTCCTGTTGATGTGATAGTATATTTTCATATGCAACCTTCTACATTTAGGTACATTATAAATAATTATTAATTTTCTTATATATATTAATTACTAAAATTCTTCATTATTTTAGATTTTCTTGTTTACCGGTTTCTCGCGTAGAATGTATTCTGCAATTGCCGTCCCTTGATATAATATTTTCGTCCAAGCGAGCAGAAGAAGAACTTATAGAATTTCGAGAGTACAAATCTCCAAATACACAATCTACTGGAAAAGAAGCAGGTTCAGCGATTGGTGGATTATCTGTTACTGGATGTCTTGCTGATTTTTCCGTTTATATTTTTCATCCTTATGGTGGTGGAAAGAAAACTGGTTTAAAAGAAGCACAATGGTCACCTTTATCGGATAGTGAAAGAAAAGATTCTTTAAGTATTAATGTCGCATTTGTAAAATTTCACATGTCTAGAAGTCGTAAATTAAATTTTCAAAGTGAACAGTTAAAGAAAATATCAGATACTAGTCGTGCAGTTATACGATTTTCTAGTATGTATTATCTTTTAATTAAGATTATAAGATTATTAAGATAATTATTAATATATTGATAAAATTAATAAAATATTTGTATACAAATTTTTAGCAATTGTTGATATTGGATCAGCTTCGTTTAAATACGATATGCGAAGATTAAGTGAAATTTTGGCTTTTCCAAAAGCATGGTATAGACGCAGTATAGTACGTCGATTATTTTTAGGAGATTTAAGTTCAGGTACTGCATATTCTGAAGGTGATGGCAGTCCTTCTCTGAATCAAGAAGAAGCTGTTATGGGTAGTTCTCTATTAAAACATTACGATCGGCATGGTATTGATGGACTATCTAAAAGTGCTCCTGAACGAAGTCCAACATTGAATAGAGATAAATTAAGATTGAGTTTAGAAAGTGACATACCAAAACATGCACGATTGAAAGGTATTTTAAATTGATTAAAATTCTTACTTTCTTTAACTATGATTTCAAATGATTTTTAATATTTTATATTTTAATAAGCATAAATAATATAATTTTAACATTAGATATCGGTAGAGGATGGAGTTTTACTTCTGATAAACAAATGTCTTCAGAGCTTAAATTAAGAGAATCTGCATGGGAAACATTAGTATTGTTTGCTATAAATTTCACTCGTTTAAATGTTCATATGAACATGGGTAATGTAATGGGTAATGTTACATGGATGACAAAGGATTTTAGGTCTGATGGAAGACTTTCCATAGGAAGCACTGGACATAAAAATTTATATATAGGTATTGGATTAGGAGGTTCTAGTTTAGATGCAAAAGGTGGCATTGTTGGTGGTGTCATTGAATTGAGTGAAATTGATACATATAGTAAGTTTTATAATTAATTAATATAAATTTACATTAATTAAAAATATTTTTGTGTTATTAATTAATAAATATTTTTATATTTATAATTATCTGTGCATATTTTTGTAGTACATATTAGAGAAGAACCTGGTATAGAACCTGATCATACTGTTGGTTTAAAATTATTTGCATTAGAATTACGATTGGATTATATGGGAACGAGTGTATTAATGTCTAGAGTATCTTCATTGGATGTTACATTAAGAGATGAATGGAAAATTAATCGTAACAATAGTGGAGATGCTTTTATGCCAACAAGAAGGTTGTTTTATGCTTATTATTATGATGTTTTAAATCATAATTGAATAAATATTTAATTATTTATATAAATATTAATCTAGACCTGCAGTAATTTTTATGCATGGAGACTTAGGATGGGATCAATTGCAAATTATGATTAGTAAATCAACAACAGCAGATCTATTAAAAATGTATTATAAATTAGACGAATTTTTCAGTCAACAATTTAAAAGTAGTAAACGAGTATTTAGTTCTTTACAACCTAAGCACCAAAGAGTAAATAACAGTAGCTTCAGAAAAAGAACGCAAAAAAAGAAAATTACCAATGAAGGTAATTATATGTTTTATATGTATTAATAATAAAATTATAAGTAATTAAATTATAAATTTTACAAATATATAATAATGAAATATATATTTTTTTAAAAATAATTATTTAATTTGTTTTTAACATACAGCTCCATGGCATACAAATCAAACTACAATGTCAGATGCTCGACATCATAGGCATTGGCAAGGAGTATTAGCTCAAGTAGCTGGACTTCAGTTAGGTAGTTTAAGTTTTTCTTTACCATCAACGGGCACTGTACTCGGAGGAACAATGGAACTTCATGGTTGTAATATTAGTTTAGCATGTTTTCATGGAATTAATTTCAAAAGTAAAAATTGGGCATTATTTTCATTAAAAGAACCATGTATTAGTTTTACTACTGAAGCTCAAGAAATTCCAAGTGTTGAATGTAAGAAATATTTTTAAAAATAATTGAAATTTATATCTTTTTCAAAATTATTTAATGATAATATTTTTAGCTCCAAATACACGCGATGTTCATGTCGTGCAAACATTAACCATCAGTTTAGGTCAACAACAAGAGCAACATGCAAGACATCATTCTATGGCTACAGTTTGTAGATTGAGTCGTAGTGTACTTTTCCCACCTCAATTTAAATCATTACAAGAATGGTTTCATTATGCATTTGCTAATAGTGAAATTGATGGTATGCATAATATATTTTATATATATTTATAATAATAAATAAAAAGTTAAATTTCTTATATTAATTGTTATGTTAATATATAGCCGTAGATCGATTTCCATGTGTTGAAAGAGAACGAACAGATAGTACGTCTGATAGTGGTAATGTAACTCGTGGAAGAAGTACATCAACTACTTCCGGAAAATTACAAGAACATTCTCATGCGAGAGAAGTTATATTTGCTCTACCATCATTACAATTACATTTAAAAACCGAACATCTTCAAACTGCTAAAACTCCAGTTGTTATCGGTACGTAATTTTTATTATCATAATTATAGATATATATATTTAGAAAATTTAAAAATTATAACAAAAATATGTGTTTTTAAATGTGTATTTACATTATATTATAATTATATGTGATGAAAAATTTTATCTATCTTATTTTTCATATATATTTATAAATATAAAAGCGACAGTTTTTTTTTTAAAGTAAAAATGATTTTTCTTTGAATTGTGCACAATTATTTTCTTTATATATTTTTAGGAGCTCCTAAACATATTTTATATAGTAAGTATAATGTAAGAATTGATTTATTTAAAATCTAGTAAAATTCAATTTGGAATTAATAAAATTGTTTGATTTGTAGAATATTTCAGATTATTGAATGCTTTATAATTATGATATTTAATATTATATAAAAAATTATTTTGCACGGAATGATCAATAAATGCTAAATAATTGCTAAAATTAGATTTTAGTTTTTGAAATTGCCATAGTCTGTATAATTAAATTTATATTTAAAATGCATGTTTTGCATAAAATAAGATAATTAATGCAATATATAAATAGAATATTTATTTATTTAAAATATATTCATTCCCTATAATAATAAATAATAATAATAGTTTTTATAAGACGTAACAAATATAATAAAATATAATATTACCATTATAAAATATAAAATTACCAATGCAGAATAATTATATCAATATTTTAATTTTTAAGCATTATTGTTCACACATTATTATATTATTTTACACAGTGTAATTCTAATAATAAAAATATAGAAATCAATATGCAATTAGTATAGAATTCATTGCAAAAATCATTTCAATATTTGAGATTTTTTAATTTTCGTATAATATTAGAAATGCAATTATATTGCTTTTTTATTATAACAATAGTTAAGTAATTCTTATTGAAAAATTGCTAAAAAAGTAGTTATATATCGTTGCATTAAATGCATTAATAAAATATTTTGAAATGCAATGTTAAAATTTTATATTACGTAAAATTTATTGTCTAAAAATCATTTTCTCAACAGGTGAAAAACCATTAGTTGAATGTAGTTTCATCACGGAATTCGAGGATCATATTTTTGTTACGGTAGATGCAGAAGCCTTTTTCTTTCTCCATGATTTGATTACTTCATATGTGAAAGAAAAAGAAAAAGTGGTAATTATTTTTTATATTTTTAAAGGAATTTGAATACCGTGTGTGAAAAACATATATTTATAATTTTTACATATATATTATAATTTTTTATATCATTTTTAGAATATGGGTGCACGAGCACATAGTCCAGATCCTCAAGAGAAAAAAAGCGGAAGTGTCAATACTTCTGCTACAACAACGATTATTTCCGAAGATGAGAAGAAACGTAAGCAATTTGATCCAGCAGAAATGTTTATAAAAGATTGGCGGTCATATAGATGTAAAACATGGCATGTAGAACCAACTGTAAGGTAATGACGAAATTTATTATAATTATTTTATTATTATGTGTTATTACTTTATTATAATATTTATTCTTTATACGGAAGGTTACTTTCATGGGCTGGTAAAAGCATTGAGCCCTATGGAATAGATTATATTTTGCAAAAATTAGGATTTGCTCATGCTCGTACAACGATACCTAAATGGATTCAACGAGGTTTTATGGATCCTTTAGACAAATTATTAGCCATTCTTATGTTAAGAATGGTTTCTGCAGTTCGCGAAGAATCATCAGAAGAACAGAAAGAACATAAACGAGAAAAATAATTATTATGATTTTGAAGTTGAACGTTCAGATTGAAAATATAGAAGATGAAAAATGAACACACATAGATAATCGTCCAAAATAATAATGTCCATAATTTTTTGTGCAAACTGCTAAGCAAGAATACCAATAAAATCGTTGTTTCTTTACACTATTTAAACTAAACATTAAATAATATGAATTTCCTAACAAAAAAATAAACTATAGTGATTAATTCAATCAGTTCAGTGTAAGAAACGACGAACTTTTACTCGCGAAATTGATATTTTGAGTATGTATATGTTTAAAAGCATTTGTAAGAAGTATGTTAATAAGATATAACATGTAATCAAGCAATTGTACATTAAAATATAAATAATGGTTTATCGTTACCGATATTTCGTTCGAACATATTAGATATTGCACAGAACGTCAATGGCACAGCACGAGCGTAACACACACACACACACACACACACACACATTAATAGTGTTTAATAATGCTTCATTATATTTTCATGGAGAATTTTTGTTTAAAAAAAATCCATTTTAAAAATCGTTCACGATTATAATAAATACACATTTAAATATAGAATCAAAATATTTAACGAGTTTTCAGCTTTAGAATTTTATAAATTACATTTACGTACAAATTATGTAGATATTAGCATTTTAAAAGACTTATGCGCCTAGATAAAAGATGAGATGGTTATACGTGTTAAAAATATTGAGAATTATGTATGGAAGCAAAATGCTCTTCTAACTTGGAGCTTAGCAGCTTTTTTAGCGCATATTAGTTTCAAAAAACATTTGTCTTTCCATTAATTGCTCATCAATTACGCTTACATTTTTGTAGTTATCACCGGTTTTTTTATTTCCTATTTTTCTTTCCTTTATTTTTTTAAGTCATTTCTAATAAATGAATTTAAAATTTTATTATATTGTTAATCGATACTAGCCATGGTATTTTTGCTCATTTTTAAAGATAATATATGTGAATTATATGTATACATAACATTTTAGTACGATAGAATAATATAATCTTTGTTTAGTTTTATGAAATATGAATCGTTTTTGTGCATATTAAATTATTACTGTAATGTAATGTAATATATTTTTGTATATACATAAATCGCACGATTCTTTTCGTAAAAGTATCTATAGATACACTATATAATGCCAAGTTGTAATTGCAATGTGCACTTTCAAAACAATGAAATAAGGAGCTGGTACATATTAGAATTAAGTTGTTACTGTAGGATAATACATTTCAATGTATATATACATATATACTGTATTTTAAATGAAAAATGTAAAAATCGATTAAACTTAACGTAGAAAACATATAAACAAACAAGCAATTAATGTATCGTTCAAGCATTTTTTTTCATTCGAGAAATTCGTAATATATATATTATAGTATCTATTGCAAAAATTATAGTTTTTTGGGTTTAATTTTCCTGCAGCACTATTTAATTTTAAGTGCAATTTGATCATTTATAATAATATAATTGAATTTATTAGAATTTTTCTATATATGAAGAGCAAATAAAATATAGCATATGTTTCTATAATATATCAAAAATGGATTTTTATGTAGATTGCAAATAACGAATTTGGGCTTCTCATTATTCCATAACCGTTAATATCGCATATATATATATATATTTATGATAGAAAGTTGATCAATTATGAATTTTGAATTTTATAATAACATATTTATACGTATATTATTTATATCGTAATATACGTGTAACATTATATGCAAGTTCCAGCATTCACGTATTCGAATTAAAGTACTTGATATTATAAGAAACAAGAATTTTCAGCTTTAATAATTAAATGAAAATTTTTATGCAATTAATATTCTTGAATAATATTACATATACATTTGTTTTTAAAATATTATATTTTTAAGATTAATTTAATTGAAAAAAATATTTGAATAATAAAAATAGATTTTTAATGTTCCTCTAAAATGTAATTTATAGAAAGAATTTAGACAATTTAGTATATTTTTTAGTTAAAGTATTGAATGTTAATTTATTTAATATGTCAGACCAAAATTTTTTTGAAATTTATATTATGTGTATATTTGCTCATCGTTATGACTGCGCGTAATGTTCTCTATTTAAAAAAAAAATTATACATTTAATAAAGACTTGGTAGATCCAGCCAGTACAAGAATAGTGAATTTTACATTGTAACAGTAGTATTATTTACGAAAAACAAACGATGTATAAATATTTTTTATTTATTTCGATACTCGAATGATAAAAATTCGCTTCAAGTAAAGGAATCAGTGAAGCGATATCTAGGAAGTTACAAAGCAATTGAATCAACAGTTAATTTTTCAGTGGACTTCGAACATTTTTGTTCATTAGCCAAATTTGTCACCTCGTAGAATAATGTATCTAATAGATGTGAAATGTCCAAATTAAAAAAAATATACTAATGTGCCTGAGATACGACATATTTAACATCTCTTCTTGCAGCATTTACATATATACATATACAGTATGTATAGATCCGCTTCATTTCGATTTATAATTACTTTTACTGAATTGTCAACTGTTGTTCTACTTTCTTTGTACATTTGTTATCTATATTTGAATAAATTAATAAAAGCATTAAAAAAAAAAAGAATTTGTGATACTTTTTATGCGTAAAATTGAAGTTATCGCGATTTTTATCTCAAAACAATCTTTTAACAATTATTTTCTCTTATTCATTTTTTTATTCATCTAACTAAAATAAACGAATAACGCTATATATGTTTCAATAGATTAAAAATTCGCTTGAGATCATTTAGTCGTAATTTATCGTTTGATCTTATAAATTCTTACTATCGACATAAAGGTCCAAGTGAAGTAAATGCACTTTGAAATTACGCAATTGTACCCGTTCAAGGAATGTAAGTAAACGCAGTTTTTTCTGCTGTCTATTGGAAGTTATCTATTTTGTCCAAAGATGTCAAGGATGACATTTAACGGACATCTTACGTAGTTTTTTCGCGATGACATTAGATTATATTTGTTTGAGACAAGGATGAATTTAAAAAAAAAAGAAAAAGAAAAACGATTTTTTGCCATGGTAAATTCCATCCTTTACTTCCCCACACTTAAAATTTCTCTCTTCCATTAAAACTGATTTTCGATAAAGCTACTCGACTTAATTAAGAAATAAAAACACACGACGAAGGAACGAGGTGTCGTGGGCAAATAAAAATCCAAAGAACAGATAAGAGAAGCAACTGGTAACACGTTCTTGATGTCAATTAATCAACGATAAGATCAGTTTTCCTGTGCAGATCACAGTCACTTTACTACTCACGATACTTTGCTTCCCCCCGTGTTTAACGCAACGCAGATGTAATTGCATGTCGTCGTTTATTTTTGCCATGGTAAATCATCTCGTACGTGATGCAATGAGAGCTTCATTCACGCATTCTTCGCGCGCGGGAATTTCTTTTTCACAGACGAAATTAAGGTCAAAGGTCTTTCCTCCAAATAATTTCGCGATGAATTTGAGAAACTTTTACACGCATTACGAATCTTTTTTGGCTCGTTTCTGTTGGATGATCGATCGAGAAGGGAGCCTGCGATTTCCGATATCTCGCGTGACGTCCTTGAAAAATAACGAACAATAAAAAAATAATAAACGGATCTTATTGCGAAATCGGTCGAATTATAATTTGAGGTGCGCGCCACGTTAAATTTATACCGTTCTGCTATACCGTTTCTGCCATTTTAATACTACATTCAATTATTTATCATTTCTCCTCAAAAAAGATTTTTGAATCATTTTAATTTACACCTGTTGAAAATTTTTTTATCCTTTGAACGAAGAAGGTTCGTTTCGTTGGTGAAAGAAAATGGCTGCTGGAAGGATCTTACGGAGATAAGGGATTCGAATTTCATAATTCGTATTACAAGGAATCTTATCTTGTATTTAGATGTTGTAAAATATTTAAATTCAAGATTACATTACGAGTTTTCTGATACTCTTATCTTCGTTTCCTTTTTTTCATTGATCCTCTGGAGACACGTAACTTGTGAAATTCACGATTTCACATCTTCCCTTGTTCAACCGACGAAAATGATTCCATCGAAGGAAGAGAACAACAATTCTTTTGAGAATCTCGTTGAAAATTGCGTATATGATATATTATGTATATTATAGCGTATGCTTTATAGTACAGTCTCTTGAAAGTATATATAAGTGCATAGTATGTTTATCCTATATATTATGATACGACGTTAAATTTAAATGTTCAAAAATGCGTAAAGTTTTTGAAAGGTAAGGATTAATATTTCCTTTTGATTATAATTATTTCTATAACAATGTTAAAGAGCAAGCGTATTCGGTTGAAATGTGAACAACCATGTCAAGGTGGTCTCAGAGTTAGTAGAACGCACTCTTATGGATAATCGTTCTTCACCATTCTCTTGTCGTGATGGACAGATCACAAAAAGGTTGTCTCGAGTTTCTACAAATGAGCTCATTTATTCCATCATGATTTCAATGTCTCTTTGATTATAATCGCGAATAAAATATTTTGTGTTTCGCATATTTAAACAGAGCCACTTTAACTCTATTCTCAAGATGGCAGATCGAATCAATCAGCTAGATATTACGAGTATTGTGATTATATAAATAGATTGCACAATGTGAAATTATATCATTTCATTATTATATATCAAGATTAAACAGTAGAAAAATATTTCTTAGAAATTTTCGATTATACTTTAATATTTATTTTTGTACAATCATATAAGAATCTTCGAGAAAATTTATTATTTTATTTTGAATTCAATCTATTATGATAAAAAATAATTTTAAATGTAGCCCAATATAAAACTCGGCATCTCACTTTCAAGATATTTAATAACGAGTTCTTAATATGCACTTACCAAAATTACGATGCTTTTAAGGTTCCATTACCGATGAAGAAGATAAATCGAGTTAAAAGAAAAAAAAATTGATTATGATTTAATTACTCGAACTATCTTATACTTGCCAAGTTTCGTCTTGTCAACGTTGCATAGCAAAAACGACAAGAAGAAACGACTAAGTTAAATAGAGTAAATAACTAGATGTTAAACTATTTATATCTTACGAATCTTATGATTAATTCGATTTCAGACAATCGTGAATCTTCATCGATCCAGACGATCTTCATCACGAAGATGATATTAAGGATGACGTCGTGTTCTATGTCCCTAACGATTTTGCAATAGTTCACGTTGTGTCGAAGCCGGTGGGCGGTCCGTTCTTTCGTGTTCTTTCGTGACATTAATGCACACCATTCTTTGTTTTAATACTTTAATGCCATTTCACGGAACTCAAGATTAATCATCGGCCAGTTTTCAGTTTAATCCTGAAAAAAATATTCAATTTACGAAGCTTAAACCGATTAATTCACTTTATAGCTTTTCGTTTTAAATTTTAGAAACAGGTATTTGAAAAGATAGACTTTTCCGTCCATAGACAATCAGCATGTAAATTGAATTATAAAATAATTCGACGAAGTTATTAAAAAGAAAACATAAAGAAGCAATAAGAAAATTTCAATATTTCGAATAATCAATCTATAGAGGAATGAATTTATTAAAGCCAAAGATGATGATTATTTTTTATTTTTTCCAATTTTATTTCACTTAAGATATGTTATTACGCAAGTTAAGAGAAATTTCAGAGGCGAGACTACTTTTTAAACATTTTTAATATTCGCAAATTATACATTTTTTTTAAATTCGAACGGTCGCAAGGCAAAGAGCGAGCTTTAACCGGTTTCGCGGCAGTAATCGCAAGATTTCGTTCGAATTCACGAGTCACAGGTCGGTGGCCAACATCGTGTACTGTTTTGTGCTTCCATTTTTACACTTTGGAAACGACAAAAAAGAATTTGCTTGCGGATTTTCCTGGACCAAACTGGTTTCGGGGCCAAGATCCTTTTTACGACCCTGCCTCGACATCGTTTCTTTGAAACTGGTACCAAGGGCTTATCATAGGACATGGAACGAAAATAACCGACTACTCTCCTTTTCTCTTTCTTCTTTTTTCAAGCAAGAATTATTCTTTCGATAGGAATAAAAAACTTGGAAGTAGATAAGTATACTTGTAATTTCTTCAAAGATAAGTCGAAATACTAAATGTGCGAATGGAGCATAAGTAAATTTCTTTTAATGGTTTGGTACATTGGTATGTAAAGTGATTCGATAACAAAACGATGTTACGTAAAGATTTATATACACGTGAAGAAATTTTTCGAATCTTTGAATTTTTAACTTTTAATATTTTAATATTGGAGTAACTTTTTTTTTAATGCTTGCATTATTAAATAAGATCTCTGTTTCTTTACTTTGACAATATAATTACTCGAGTTCGTGGAAACTGTAATTAAATTTCGATAACACTGTTGAAACTTTTGAGGTTTACTTAACAATGCAACAAATAATATTACGAATTATTGTGAAAGTTCAGAAAGCTACGTCATTTGCGAATGAGATTCGTATATTATCTCCTAAATGTCCGAGAAATAAATTCTTATGATAAATTCATGATTAAATTTTAGAAATAAATCTGCATATTTCAAGCATAGAAAATCAGATAAAAATTTAAGGTATTCGGAATTTCCAATTTTTCATGTGGAATAGAATTTAGCTTTTTAAAATTCTCGAATTCTAAAACAATAAATCATGTATAATTTACGTATTTCTCGTATCCAGTTTCATTAATCACAATTTTATTTTTTATAATCTAGTCGGAAATATATTTATAATAACTATCCGATACAAAAACACGAATAGAAATCGAGAGATTTATAACAAAAAATAACTCAACTTTCTCCAAGCTAGGAAACGGTTTCTGCGCATCAATGTCAAGGTTGGTTTCTGCTCTTGATCTTTGGATAAAACGTGACGTAACGTGTCCATAGACAAAGAAGAACAGGATCATAAATTTTCCACCTCCGGGTACCATATATAATAAAGATGATAATTAACATAATTCAAATGCGATAACGAAGCAACAAGTTGATCGTTGAAATATTTTCTCTCGAATGATCCATCCTATAAATTCCCCATACATATGTAAATATTCAATTACGAACTATAATATTTGTTTCTTGATGGATTCAGAATAAAGAGATGGATTCAAAATATATATTTCTTTAAATATATAAATCAGAATAAGCATATCTATGAAAGGATATCAATATGCAAATCTGTCCCAAATTTCACATCGCTTCCGTGTCATCGTATTTCAAAGCAACAGAGATCGTATTGCGTACGTGTATTCAACAAACGATATATCACTGATTCATTCTCAATCCATCATCCCACACGTTGAACAGAAGAAATTGAAAATCGATACGGTACCAATTTTCCTTCGACGCTTGGCGATTCACCTTCGAGCCTCATCTCGAGGAATTCTTTAACCACAGCTTGTCGGTGCCATAAAGATCGGTTTTGCGCATCCATGCAATCGGACAATAGACAATTAATATCCGCAAAGGAAGATCACGATGCCCCCGCCAAGTGTACTTGCACCTCTTCGAATCTCTAGGCAATTATTCCCGCATCTTCCAGTGTCTTTGCGTTTGTTCTCGAAACTATTCCAGTGAGAATGTCATGGAATCAAGAAGAGATTACGAATAGGATACATTTTATCTCGGTTTAGCGATCGGCCGAGCGTATCATCGATGCTGGCCGGTTTCGATAGCGAAACACGGCCGATTACGAAAGGTTGATGACATCGCGATTCCCCCGAAGCGTTTCATGATCTTTACCCGTAAATCTTCGGTTTAATGACACGCGGTGTCGTGCGTACGCGATGCTTGGAATTATAATCAGATTCGAGGGCGTTATGTAGGGTGCGCCGCAGCGTTAAAACAGTTTTTGTTCTTTCGAAATCGAACAAGCTCGACTCGATTAACCTTACGACCTTCGAGATTTTTTTTTCCTTTTCCTTTTTCGATACCAATTGTGTACGCGTGAAAGCGTTGGAGAGGTGACGTGTATTAGAAATCCATCGGACTTGGAAATCTTGGCTTTTTGTGGAGCAGAGTGTAGGTGTAGAGAATAATAGTTAAGGAGTTTCGTCAACGGTGAGATTGAAAGGAAAGTTAATTTAGTATGAATATGTTTTTCGATATTTTCGAAAGTCTAAGTTGGTAAAGAAAAAGTTTTGGACGACAATATATCGCAAATTTTTTTCCAAGAATCGTTAAGCTCGTATCGCTCGTATATTTAATAGATGAAGTGAAAGCACAATTCGTTCTCAGATAAAAACTGTGCCGACTTTTACGATCGATTTTCTGATACAACACGAATCCTCTAACGGATTGCTTGCGCAAACAATGAGTTTTACGATATGTTCGTGCGTTCCCATCTTCATACCAGGAATTGTATTTGCGTTTCACTGTTATTTCTTTTTTTTTTATATCTGGTATTATCACATCATTTAATTATATTATTATAATTGTGATTTTCAGGTGTCGCAACGACAATTATCCAGATCGATTATTAATCGGCAAAATATATCAAACGAGTAATTAATGCGTTCAGAGAAATTATTATCAATTTAATTATTCAATAAACACGTCATTTTTCAGATCGAGTGTTATTTTCTCGTGATCATAATCTCTATGAATTGATGATAATTCATCGATAATTCATCGATCTCGAGGATACACCAACAATGGCAACAGGTGTAGAACGGCTGTATAAATTAAGACACATCGACAGGCTGACAAATTAAAATGCTCCACACCACTCCTCGATACATGTAATGATCTGCCATTTACGAAGTTCAATGTTTTGCGACGATGTTACTCGTGCTATTAGTTGTACCTGGCCAACGAGGGAAGCATTAGAAAGTGGCTGTTGTTCATTGATTTATCCACAATATAGTCATTTTACCGTTTGACAATTACTTTAAATTCTCTTATATAGATTTAATTTTATTATTTTTTAGTGAAGAAAACTTATGAAAAAAATTAATTTTATTATTAAATTAAAAGTTAATTTATAATTTTATAATAGAAAATTGATTAATACGTATTTCTCTCGTCGATCGTTTTTTACTTTGAAAATAAAACAAACTTCGTAAGTAACACACGGTCTTTTCAAAATTTCAATGCATGTAAAAACAATTTCTAAATATTCGAAAAGAAATTTAAATTTCTTCCAAGTTTTATACCTTTACAATTTCCAATTAAATTAAATCAAAATTGGAATAAGCTCTTCATCTTACGTTTCTATGTCTTTGTTCAACAGCTTTAATATTCGAGCTTGATGAGAATCTTTGCTTCAGCAACAGGTTAATCAGTACCAGTTATTCAATTTGTTCCATAACAGAGACATAATACGATTCATGGGTCGACTGTTCGTCTTAAAAAGATTGTAAGGCCACTCAAGTCCAAGTTTCCAGTTTACTTGTAGTTAATTCACATTAAGAACTTCAAGAGACGTTCGATCAAGATAAGAAGTTAGAACTAATTAAGATTTCGCAGAAGCGCAGCGATAGCGAGGTCATAAGTAACAATTTCACGGTATCATAGCCTGAATAAGTTCACTGACTTTCACCCTATATGGTTACGTTCTTGAAAGGAAGGACATGCGAGATTATTTTACAGAAAAGCATGCAACCGTTTAACGCACATCACGACCGTGATTTGTCGTTACCATAATCAGCCGAGTGTACAGTCGTCACGGTGAAAAATCAACTATCATTTTGGAATAGAATACTAGAGATCTCCTGTTGAGTTGTCCTATTATGCCGTGCACGGATTGTACTGGCGGCAGTTCAGAAAAAGAGACTTTGTACTACTGTTGCCGACTTGCAGCATCCGAATAAGACTAAATAATTCGTTAATCTGATGTTGAACTTTTGATGTGAAATATGTATTTCTATGTGTCGTTTAACATGTTTGGAATTTCAGACATTTTCAATAAAAAACTTGTAGGATGTTTTAAAACAAGGATCGATCATGAAACTTTGAACTCTCTGATCCTTAATCCGTGAAATTTATTACGAACGACTCAAGAGAAACTAGAAAGAAACAACAATACTTGTAACAAGAAAAGATTAATTATAAACGATTTGAACTTTATAATCTCTGAGTTCAATACTTATTATCAATTATGTAGAACTTGAAGATTTAAACTTTCTTGGTTTCAATATCATCGAAGCTGTTAGATTAACTGAATAATCAATGTTCATAATCCTGTAATCGTAGGATTGTCATAAGCTAATTGAAATTGAAGTATCTTCGAAAAGACATTGAAATATACGGGTCTAATCGTCAGTCAAGGAAAGTGAAATCTAGTATTTAATCATCTCTGATGAGTTTCATGATATCAAAGTTATAAAAATGTATATTTTTTTTTATCTTTGGATTGTTCTTTGATGAATTTTACGACCTTGTCTTCAAGAGTTCAAGATGCTTTAATTTTTGTTGACCCGTGACTGATTTCTTAACCTCGAGGCCATCGACAATACAGTTTCACATCCGCAACAATAGTTTGTGAGTTCGTAGTTCTTATGATTCTGATAGTATAAATATATTCGCAAAACACATATTTGTTTTGTCAATGTATTTAATTTATATTTTCTATATTTTTTTATATTCTACGTATTAATACACGTTTCTTCGTTAAAGTAGGTATAACTTGACTGTATATATTTTTTAAAAATTCAAATTCGAACAGACTAATGAAATTAACCATGTCCCACGCGTAAGAATATAAATTATGCACGTCAACCAGTTATCGCATACACTATTTCAATCGAAATACTACCTACGTGCAAGCATCAACATTTTGCTTTATCTCTTCTTGTACGAACAACATCCTTCTAATGTTTCACTTACATCCATATCTTTCATTTATTCCACACGCCACACGAATTAATTTTCTTCGATAGATTCCCTTGAAAATATATATATGTTTTGCAACACTTGTTTCGAGGCTCTCCGTTCTCTCACGATAATACGAAAACACATCAGCCGCTAATCTCTGATCAATTCTAAAACCCTTACGGCTACCATGTTCTTTCTCAGCTTCATTATACTTTCAACACGTTTATAACGCCCTCCAATGTTTCACGATATATCCGCTACTCATTAATATACTCGTAATCATCCAACGAATTATGTCTTCCAACCTCGCATCCTGATACTGGTGCATTCCTAACGTTCCAATCATTCCGAGACACCCGGTCTTGCGAATATTTCGCGAATTGAAGAAAGAAGAAGAAAAAGAAAATAAAATTTTACAGTTTGATGCAGTTTAGAGTTTTCTCAATTTTTACCATTTGCCAATCTTGCTTCATTTTGCTTCATTTTATTTTTTAAAAAATAAAAATCTTGAATGAAATCTGAAAAGAATTAAAAAAAACATTAACTCAAATCCAATAATAGTGGAAACTAATTTTCTTTTATTTTATTTCAAGATTATCGAATATGGCATTTTTTTAATCTCGAAGAGAATAGAACGTAAAATTAAAGTGGAAAACGAATAGAAAGAAAAAGAACAATTATCAATGTGAATCGATCTGAACTATATAGGATAAAGGGAATACTTATCTCGATTCGAAGAGAACGAACGGGACTTGAGCCACGTATCGAGGTCGTTAAAGGTTCTAGGGGAAAAGGTTAATTATCTGAGCCATCGCGAAGAATTCCGGAAGATGTTTGGCAATTGTGCCTGTCATGGAAGCGAAAGTCTTACTCCTATTAGTTTGCTCGAATCGGGTCAAGTCGCGAAACGATCGTTCCATGTTTCTAACCAGTTTTTCGTGATATTGCTCGCCTATGCTGAAATGACAATAATCGTTATATCACTATCTCGATATAATTTAAAAATAAAAATTTAAAAAATTCAATTACCTTTGAATAAAAAAAAAATAAAAAAAAAGTCATTTTTAAAAACTTTCAATACACTCGTGAAATACAATGTTCTCGTATAGAATAACGAATTTACGCTACGTTTTGCGTTATCTCTCTATCGATTTCACCGACCTCCCACGTCCGCCAATTTCACGTTGTCTATAGTTGCCTCGACATTGACATTTCGAGCAGAATTTGGGTTGGACGTAGCAGTGTAGGCCGGCGTACGAAAGAACCTCGCCATCAGGTTCACCGATCTGTAACCGCGGGGTCAATAAACCGTGTACTTGCGAATGGACACGCGGTGGCGGATCGGGGAATCTGCTTAAGTTTGTTAAAAATTCACGCACGGGGGTCAAACGTGTACAGCATATATCGCTAGTAAGAGTATATTTTCCGGTACGAAATATTCAACCACCGTATTTTGTGCGATCCGCAACGAAGCTATTCAAACTGCACGTGTTCCATCACATGTCAAGTGTCATCCATGAGGATTTTCGTCAAATGGATATTTTTGCTGGAAAAAATTTGTAAAAAAAAAAAAAATAATATTAATGAATTTGATATCGTATATGCGTGATATTTTAAAATTATTTTAAGATAGATTATAATAGAGAGAAAGTCATTGTGGGAGTTTTATGATGAATATTTTACACGTGACGATAAATTTTGTCTACTTCCTTTTTCATCAATCATTTTTTGATATTTTAACGAATAATAATATAATTGATTGAAAATTCGAAGTGCGAAATCACTAACAGATTGAAGATATATTAAAATTCGTTGAAAGACTTTCTATTTTTTACTAAAATCTTTTTTAAGTATTTCTCTATTTTAAAAAATTGCCACGACTTTCTCGAAGTTTGTTGAAATTTTTCTAGTTTTTGTAGTTTCAGAAAACATACGAGCTATTTTATTGAATTTTTTCTTATTCATTTGGTAACTTTAAACTTCATTAACGCATTTTTCTATTTAAAGTTTTAATTTCAAATAGACAGTAATTATTTTGTGTTCATTTGTATTACTATCTAAATGTATGTACAATATATTTTTAGTATTTTCAATATCTATTTCAATAGATTTCTTTTACTTTAATAGGTAACAACTGAACTCATTGTTCACTACTTCAAGAAGATATTTCCAATCACTGTGCAGTTAGATTGAAGATTACGTATTACGTAAATTAACTTCACGTTACTTCCCAATTACTAGAAGTTTCCTAATTTCCTCGATTCCTTCGTAAGAAAAGAATTTCGTAAATCGAAAATCTCTTACATTGATGATATTATCATAAATTCCATCTCAATGCCCTTCGTTTAATTACGTCATCAAGACTAATTCCGAACAGGATCTCTTTCTCTCTTTTTTGAGAATACAATGGTCAAAGATGCCGCATAAATCAAGTCCAGAAACGACTCATAAAATTTGTTGGCAACTACCAAAAATTCCCACTATATTCGTCAGCAGTCAAAAATCTTCGCTACTGATTGCAAGCCACGCATTCCATGATATTTGTTCTATGAAATTTCTCTTCAGTTTTCTAGATTTAAAATTTTAAAGATTAAAACTTTTTATCTATTTTATACTCATATTTTACTTATTTTTTTAAATATTAAATATTTCTATTTATCTCTTTAAATTGAATATTCAAGAATAAAACATATTTCAATTATTTTCTTATTTCTATATTTTATAAATTAATAGAATTACTTGTTTTATAAATATTTTTCACATATTATTTATCAAGGATTAAAAATTTTTTCCATTGATTGTAAGTCATGCATTCCAAGATTCCTCCTCAGGTTTTACGCCCGCAAGATCCGCTTTCTCGAGTCCTCGTCAATTCGCGAAGCGACCGAGATCACGGAGGAGTATGTGTGACAATACGATAAAATTCCCGCAACACCCAACGCTCGAAAAACGGTCTTCATAAATAAAATCTCATCCGGGTCACAGAGAATCTCAAGACGTGCGGCGAATCTCAAGAGATTACATATTTTGGCGTTGAATCAGAATACCATTTTTTTAAAATACATAATTTTCTAACTTTTCTTTACTTTGTTCTTTTAGAAAAGAACAATATAAAAAGTTATAATTTTATTTTAATTTCATTCTTTACAAATTCTTGATAAATTGTATAAGAATTATACATTTTGCTATTACTAATAATTTCGCATTCGAAATTACATTTACATTTTGAATCTTTAGATCCTTCTATCTCTAATTTTGGCTTTATAAATTGACTATGTAATCCAGGATATGATCTGTGGGTATTGATATTGTTTTTAATCCAATTTAAAATTTCTTACTAAAAATTATATAAAAGTTAGTTTGATTATTATAATTCTTTAAATTATATATTAAATGTTAATTCCATATTTTCAGACTTACTTTCATTTTTCATTTTTTAACTTGAATTTATACATAATTAACATAAATTAATAATTTTCATTTAATCTGATAATCTATTGACCATGTTCATATCTCTGGAAGTTGGAATTTGAACGAAAGTCCGGATTTAACAGATTTCCATCTCGAAATGCGCAAATGAATTGTCTTCTACATATATCATGAGATCTGAAATCATGATGATATTCATAGTTTGAAACTAAAATTTGCTTAAATGAAACCAAGGATATCATAGAACGACGGAACGATGTAGTTTATGCAGGAAGTTGAATAAACGGATTTTAGTTGTAATAATTTAATAAATGAGAAAACCGCATTAATGTGCATTTAAATTTAAAAATAAATCTAATATTCTCATTATGATCTTAAATAGTATAAAGAAAATATTTACCTGTAATGCTTGACATTATATTGTTTTTTTATCTTATATTTATTGTCAATGATTTATTTAATGTAATCTTCAATATTATCATATATATTATATTTACGTGCATGATATTATTTTCTATCTTTGTAATGGAATTTTTAAAAACAAAAATCCCAATAGTTGATGACATGGACACAGCACGTGTTCCTCAGACATTCTTCGATATTTGTTTCGTAACATAACGATAAGTCACGTATTGTATAAAAATATTTCGTCCATATCGATGTTCGAACAATGTAATAATTCAATTCTTAGTTTTATTAAATATTGCTACAAAATTTTTTATTTAATTAAAATATTAATTTAAAATTATAAATTATACTCTTAAACTCTCTTAAATAAAATTGAAAAAATGTATATTTTCATATGTAAATAGAAATAAACATTGGCGAGACATTCTTTCTCAGATATTCTCTTATATAAAATTTTTCATTGCATAAAATTTTGTTCAAATTTAAGATTTCATAACAGGAAAATTTAATTGAAAAAGAAGTGGCATACGAAATTTTTTTAATTTTTTATTTTTAGTTTTTCGAGATTTCAAATTTTGTGATATCGACAAAAATTATTAAATATATTTTTATATATTTTTATATTTTTTACCTTTTTTTCCCCTCTTTTTCCAAATAATATCCTCTTTCTATTTTTCCCAATAGTTTTCTAACTTTCTTGTTTCGCAATATTTAGAAGAATGTGGATTTTTTTAATATTTCTCGAACAAATATTTCTGGATATTACAATTGTGGTTATGTTTCTTTAATTCCATAAACATTTAAAATATATTGTGTCGATAACTTAGGTAACGATCGAAAAATTTTAATCAGCGCCATCTCGCGTTTGGATCCGCGAAGCTCCGACTTGTTACTAGCATAGCAGGATATGCAAGGAGGTATGCTAACTCAAAGACAAGGAAAGCAACATTGTGCGAGAAGGACAGAGAGCATCCCCCACCATTTCGGAAACACCACATGGAAAATTCATTAATTACTCATTGTTTACGCAAAACTTCTGCACTTTTGAGATTGCATCTTAAAGCTGG